TACTGTGGAGAACTCGAGAGGACCTTATAGTGGCGTAGACATCTTAGTTATAATTGCCTATGCATTTAGTATATTCTTGTTGATGAAGATAAACATTCTGCAGTTGAACTGACGACGTCTCATGGCCAATATGATAGGATGGATATTTTCCCCGAGAATCGCCTATATACAGTCTCAATTATGTACATGGACTATTAAGGAGAAATATTCCATTCATTTATAGCAGGAGATTGTAATGTTCACTTCACCCTGCTCTCTTAACACCTGTGGCAGTGGGTACATCCACTGCGGTGACTTGAAGGAAAACAATATTTTTTATCCTGGACTGCCAGGAAACCTTGTCTTTTCAAGGCCCATCTTTAAATCGTACATTGGACCTCATCTAGGGCCACCAGATATAGTCCTGGACAAACGAGACTGTGACCTCTTTCATTGTATCTCTATGCTGGAAACCGTAGGATCTGACCATATCCCTATCTATAATACAACCTACAAACTTCTCCATTTAGAATACGGTACCTCCTACTACCCAACTAGACAAGTAGGATTTTGGACCCCTTCAGGGCTTTTCTGGGTGAAGATGAAATTGTGTCGGTGCGAAAATCTACTTCCTATATGCAATTGGCGACGCGATCTAGGTCCCTTCACAATTCGAATAATTGATGCTACATATGCAATGTGCCAGTTTATGCTTACACAATGATTACAACAATATAACCACGAGGGAAAATTAGAGACGGCATGAGAATTTATCAAACAGATGTCCGAAGGCATCTCAAACGCGGAACCACAGTAGCTACATTGTATAGATTGAGGCAAGAAATTAATTAACTTGATTAGTTATCACAAAAACGTGACTTACGGAAAAAATGCCGAGTTTTCTAAAAGATATCAGTTTAAACGAGAGCCTGAAAAATTTTTGGGAGTAAGATTGGCACTTTTAGGTGCAAAACACAGGCTCCTACCTCCCTAATTCGTACCTTACCACTGATGATGATGATTGAAGAGTTGAGATTAACTTGATGATAAACACAGGACCAGGCTAATTTGATGGGTGATGATGTGAGAAAATTCTTACCCACAATAACAGTGTCGATTTAATAATAATCACTATCGTTGGTCAATGTATGGAGAGATGAGAACATTAGCTGATCTACAACCATTAACTACCATCGATACATAACTCTTGATGATGCAAACCAGCCTTACAAGAACTTCTCTTACTTGAGATGAGTTCAAGTTGTTGAGAATTTTTTTTTTTTTAAAGGTCCCACGACCCTGGTCTATCTGGAATAAAAGTGATACAAATAAAGTACTACCCAGAAATTGTAATAACAAGTACTTTGGTTAATATCTTTAATGCCATCTTGGCATGACAGGACAGTTTCCAGTTGTTTTAAAGAGGCAAGGTTGATCGTTCTTGCTAAGCCCAAAATAAAGACATCATCAACTGGGAATATAAGACCTATATGAGATTACTTGAGTCACTGGAAATGTTCTCGAGAGATAATTTTCCAACATGACTGACAAACTACTATATGGAGTTTATCACCTTTTACTTGAAAAAAACAGTTTGGACTGTAGGAACAATAGAGGTACCCATTATGCAATAATTATTTTGAATACTTTAGCGAGTCTGAAGCATTCGGGCTATCTTGCCTTTAATTGCCCACCAGAGTGTGTCATAAAGCTTTTGATAGCTTATGGCATGATGGTCTTGTATTACAAAATCATTGGACCTACCTGACCATACTTGGAACATTTCTCAGATATATATTTAACTTCTTAACTCAAAGAAAAATCATTCCACCTTTCATGGCAGGTCAGCGAACACTTTTATACCGCAGTGGTGTCCCACATTCTTAGTCCAATTCTATTCATTATTTATGTGATGATCTTGCTCAACCGAGTTTAATGTACAATTATAACGCAGTTTGGCAGATGATGTTATCCATGTCGTCTCGTCAACTCGGTAACAGGAAAATACAAGTCTGAAAGAGTCATAGAAAAAGTAGTTGTTGATCCCTACTATTTTCCTTTAGGCAGGTAAGCCTCACCTTTAAGGGGGCTGTAGGGCAAATTTCGTAACTCGTTTATTTACCGTCCGATTTTCTCCAGTTTTGGTGCACAAGACAAAGTGTTCTCACTCTTTCTCGAAAATATTTATAAAAAATATACCTCAAACAACAACTGAGAAAAGACTGATTTACTGAAAATGCCCTTGAGGTTGATGTAACTCTTATATGCGGCTACGTAAGGTGGTTTGGACACTTGGTGCCGAGAGAACAATGCTAATACTAATTCGGACCGTAAGATTTCCCTCTAAATACCTTATCGTTATTTCACAAAAAAATAAAGTTTGTTAGTTTCTGGAATATTGCAAAAAAATCTGCCCTTTACTCCCACATAACTCCCGAACTATTTGGAATATTTTCAAAAACTCAACGGTCAGGATAAGAGAAATCATTATTCTACAATATCTGTGAATATTATTCCATTTAATTAAGTAATAAAGGAGCCACATCGAATTATAGGTGAATAAGTTACTTCCGAGATATCGGCCGGGAACGCCGGCCGGCCCCCGTCTCAAAAAAAAAAAAAAAAAATTCGCGAAAATCGCGTTTGTTTGGGTGTATTTCTTAGTAAACTGATGTTCTAGTGCAGTTATCCTCTTCAAAACACCGTTTTCTCTTACTCAGAGACGACAGGGTAACAAGTTACACTTTTATATCGAAATATTCCCGATAATCTCTGGGCCATATTATGGCCTATTTTATTCAGTCTAGAGTATATAACATGTTTGTATGTTATTTAGAGTGTTTATTATATCATATTAGATCAATTCTGATAGACAAATAAGCCGTAGAGTTGATATATAAGCTGATATAAGCGTAATAATGGGCGATTCCTGGCTGGCACCTCGAGCGCTGGAACACTGCTGAGCGTTCCCATCTGGTTCCCGGTAGTCACTAAGTCTCCGGATAAGTCCCGCCTACTGTTTTATGATGCCAAATAGTCAGTTATTATATTAGAAAGAATAATGTAAGAAAAGGCGATAAAAAACAAGAAAATAACTCCAAAAAATATATAGGCCGTGAGCAGACTCGGTACCAACATCACCGTCACCATACCTGATATAAATGACTATAATTTCTTGTAGAAACGTCGTAGAACATTCATTCTGGTACCATTGTGTTGCCAAAGAGTTGAGCTATTTTTCAGTATATATAACTCAATTTCCATATTTTTTCGATTTTTCGGTGAGCGCGCGCGGAAAATTGCCCTGTAGCACCCTTAATATACCTTTGAAGGGTTTCAGGAGTTTTCATTATTGCCGTACCATGGCCCAGGGCCAGGCTTGTCTGTTTGCCTGATCAATCAGCCTGTTGCTGCTGACCCATATATCCTTCACAGCCTGGTTGATCTGGCACTTAGTGGAGGTACATGTCCAATTTCCTTTTGAAAACTTCTACACTTGCTCACACATTCATACATCAATAGTAAAGTCATTAGAGTTACTTTCATTTGATGTCCACCATTAATATCTTTGTATATATGTACGTACGTGATAAGACTGGTTCAGATTTTTAACCCAGAGGATTAGCCGCCCAGGATAACCCAAGAAAATCAGCGTGTCATCCAGGACTGTGTCTTATTTCCCTTGTGGTCCTTCACTCTTCTCCCCCAGGATGATACCCACACCAGTCGACTAACACCCAAGTACAGTGGACCCCCGGATATTGTAATATTCGGTAATCGTAACGTTTTTTTGTCAAAATGTTGGCTTGGTGATCGTCATTTACCTCAGTAATAGACGTTCATCCCAAATGTGAACAAGCAGCCCTGACATAGCACAGTCAGTGTGCCACTGTTTATCAGCTAGTGAGCATGATCCCACTCATTCATACAATCCATTTCGTAATATTCCATTCGTTTTAGTGCTTGCAACTGCTAAATAAGCCACCATGGGCCCAAAGAAAGTTAGTGCCAGCCCTTTGGTAAAGAAGGTGACAAACACAACAGAATTAAAGAAAAAGATTGTAGAAAAATACGAAAGTGGTGGTGGTAGTGATAGTGGTAGAGGGTGGTTGTGATGGTGGTAGAGGATGGTAGAGGGTGGTAGTGGTTGTGATGGTGGTAAAGGATGGTAGAGGGTGGTAGTGGTTGTGATGGTGGTAAAGGGTGGTAGTGATGGTGGTAGAGGGTGGTAGTAATGGAGATTGGTGCAATGTGGAGTAGGATGGAAAGATTTGTGGAGGAACATCACTCTGACAAAGCTGTTGCAAGCCGTAACGGCAACATGTACAATGACAATGTCTTGTCCCATTTTAGGGAAATTTTAAAGAGACACCAGAAACAGAGCTCTCTGGACAGATATTTAGTGCCACAGGTGTGCAGTGACTATCAAGCTGGTCCTAGTGGCATTAAAAACAAAGGGAAGCCACCCCAGAAAAGGACTTGGTACCTGAAGTCTTTCTGGAAGGGGATTCCCTTTCCAAACAATAGTAACCCATCTTCTCCCCTCCTCCAGTCTTCCATACGCTAAGAAGAATCTTCAATAAAGGTAAGTGTCATGTTACTATTGTTTTATTCTTCATGTCTCATTGTTTTCTGTGCATGTAAATGTATATTTCACGTAAAATTTTTTTTTTTTAATACTTTTGGGTGTCTGGAACGGATTAATTGGATTTACATTATTTCTTATGGGGAAAATGAATTCGGAAATCATCAAATTCGGCATCAGTCACAATTTCTGGAACAGATTAATTGCGATAACCGGGGGTCCACTGTACTTACTTATTGCTAGGTGAACAGGGACAGCAAGTGTAAGATACTGTATGCCCAATATTCCCACCTATGTCAGGGATCGAACGAGACACTAATCTGACCCAAAATGCTCAACATAACCAGGGGCTTTCCATGTGTACTATCAAATATCATGCAAGTTTATAAAAACTATGTGTTGTATGGCAACTATTATTTTTATTATTGATGCAGAATATTCTCACACTGGACTATGACTCATTTGTGAGTAATTTCAACACTTGAGAAAAACTGACTTTGTAACTGTCAACAACATTGTTAACAAGTTATGGAAACCACCTTTCCAAATTCTCACCCGATAGGCAATAGCCGAGGCACACTCAGCAACAACGTGGGTCCTGCAGTCATCATCATCGAGTCCCTCAAAAATGCGCACCTCACCGTCGGTGCCACATGTTATCACGTATCTGAAAAGTGATAAACAAATCATTTTTTTCGGAGAACAAGGGGAACAACATTTTTAAACACAAATGAAACACTTCAATGACTGTTCTAGTAAAATATATTTTCCATAGCATTAACCCTTTGAGGGTTTCGGCCGTACTAGTACGGCTTACGACCCAGGGTTTTTGACGCACTAGTACGCCTAAATTCTAGCGCCCTCAAATCTAGTGAGAGAAAACTGGTAGGCCTACATGTGAAAGAATGGGTCTATGTAGTCAGTGTGCACAGTATAAAAAAAATCCTGCAGCACACAGTGCATAATGAGAAAAAAAAAACTGACCGTTTTTTTGGAATAAAACAGCGACTTTGCACTGTATTTTTGTATGGTATTTATTGTTGTATTCTAGTTTTCTTGGTCTCATTTTACAGAATGGAAGACATATTACAGAAATTGAGATGATTTTGACTGGTTTTACAATGAAAAGTACCTTGAAATTGAGCTCAAAGGAGCAGAAATGTTCAATTTTTACCAAAGTTCAAAAGTAAACAAATCATGCCAAGCGTCCAATACACGTCAACTGGCGAGTCTAATATTCTTTTGCAAGTGCGCCAATATTATTTATACCATTTTTTACACTAATGCAGTAGTCTGCATAACAGTAAATCTTCTATTTTTTGTGAGAATAAAAATTCAAAGTGGAAAGCAAAAGAATGTAAGAGGGGCCTTGAGACGTGACTAATGAACAGAGGAAATGTCATTTTAGTGCCAGGAATGTCTTTCTTGTTTATTCTGGACCCTATTCAGAAATTGGCATCTTTTGAAATTTGTGTGAAATTGGCAAAATTGCTAAATTCTGACCACTGTACTGGATAGTTGAAATTGGTAAATGGGTGGTTTCTTGCACTCATTCGATATAAAAAATGGAGTTCTAGCGAAATATTCATGTTTTTTTCGACTAGTACAGTGGAATTGGCCGAAAATGGGCTCAAAGTGGGCAAAATTGCTGATGCGTAAACATCACCGAGACCACTAACTTCGCGAGAGCATAATTCCATAAGTTTTCCATAAAATTTCATAATTTTGGTGTCATTATGATCGGGAAAAGATTCTCTATCTTTTCCTAAGAAATTTTTTTTTTTTTTTAAATTTGACCGACCCTGAGAACGAGTTTCGGAGAGGCCCTGTCGACCCTCAAAGGGTTAAATAAGTTTGGTATCATATATTTTTCTGATACTGGGACAGTGCAAAAAACATTTACTGATACTGATACATCAATATGTAGTACAATATTAGCCTGACACCAATACAACCAAAATTAAACAATACCCACCAATACCGCTACTTCAGCACACCCGTATTTTTAGATGGCAAAGTCTATAGTTGTGCAATACATTTGGGGCAAACCTTACCCTTTCAGTGGCCATCAGCCTCTTCTCACTTAACAATGGAGTTCTGTTCCTAAGACCACATCGGTAAATGAATTTGTCATTAAGTGAGGAGCATACTATAATGGTAATGGGTTTGTGTCAACCATCTTTGATATTTTTAAATGTCACCTTTACACCATTTATAATGTTTCTGGAATATTTTTAAACGTTTATACAGTAATGTACTGAATAGTGTAATAAACAGAATAGAGGAAATCAGCTCTAATATACATTATTTAGGTAGACATACTGGTCAGAGCCCATCGTAAGTCCAAGTCGTCAGTAAACGAGTACGCCACTAAGTGAGGAGAGGATGCGAGTGGTAAATTTTGGCCTAGATATGAGAGAAATGCCCAATATGATCTGCATACTAAGGGGCTTTTTGCATATGCACCTAAATGTCACCCATCTCTGTACAAACATTGTATCATGCTGAAATAAATAATCTTTGATCTTTAATGGGTCTGTGCAGTGAGCGTGCACAGTATAGAAAAATACTGCAATACGTGGTGCATAATTTATTTATTTATTTATTTATTAACAATTTGAGCACACATAGAGGTACAAAAAAATACAGATAAGAGCAGCATGCCAAAGCCACTTATACTATGCATAGCATTACGGGCTGGCTTAAAATTAACTTAAGATTAACTAAGCAATGATGAAATCAGTGATAAAACATTAATGTAAACAGATTACTATAAAGCACAAGTGAGTATTACAAAGACAGGTCATATGGTTGCATGCATTGTTGGAGGCCTGGTCACAGACCGGGCCGCGGGGGCGTTGACCCCCGGAACTCTCTCCAGGTAAACTCTCTCCAGGTACATTCAGTAGAATGGAGTATTCTGTTAGGTAGTGTATTTAAAAAAATAATAAAGTTAGATTGGGTTTTAGGTTTAACATTTATGTGATATAATTGTGAGAAACATTTAAGATATACAATTTATAAGGTTCAGTTATTCAGTATTTATTTGGTTTTGGGTGAGTAAGTGATCTTTGAGAAGAGACTTGAATTTATAAACAGGTAGTGTTTCTTTTATATTTACAGGTAATGAATTCCAGATTTTAGGGCCTTTTATGTGCATTGAGTTTTTGCATAGCGTGAGATGGACACGAGGAACATCAAAGAGTGATCTGTGCCTTGTGTTATGGTCATGTGTTCTGTTGAAACCAATTCTCTGACCTTGTGTTTGGTTTAAAATAGTGACTCTGAGGTGTTTTCTAGGATGGGTTTTATAGTTTTACTGGATGTTTCTTGGTAACTTTTGACAGAATGGAAAGCATATTACTGAAGTAGGTTGATTTTGGTTGGTTTCAGGATCAGAAGCAGCTTGAAACTGGACTCAAAGCAGCAGAAACATTTAATTTTTGCCAGTTTTCCTAAGGACGGGTAAAGTCCCATTACACCTCCCAGTTTGTTTAATGAGTTTTTAATAGGTCTGATTCAATCACAACAAAGTTTGCCAGAAATGCTTTGCATACACCTCAACATCAGCCATCTCTATACATTGTATCTTCCTGAAATAAAGAATCTTGAGTCTTTAATCCATGACCTAGATAGGTTGATGATGTGCTCAGAGAAATGGCTTGCATTGAATTTTAATTCCTCCCATTCCACAGGTGCTATATGACCCCTATGGGTTTAGCACTTTCCCCCGATTAAATTATAACAATTGTGAACGGTATCACTCTTCACTGGCTGATAAGATAAGATAAGATAAGATTTCGTTCGGATTTTTAACCCCGGAGGGTTAGCCACCCAGGATAACCCAAGAAAGTCAGTGCGTCATCGAGGACTGTCTAACTTATTTCCATTGGGGTCCTTAATCTTGTCCCCCAGGATGCGACCCACACCAGTCGACTAACACCCAGGTACCTATTTGCTGCTAGGTGAACAGGACAACAGGTGTAAGGAAACGTGTCGAATGTTTCCACCCGCCGGGAATCGAACACGGGCCCTCCGTGTGTGAAGCGGGAGCACAAATTTTATTGGATTGTGTAATAACTAGAAAATGCATCTGCTTGAAACTTTTAGTGATGATGTGTTTTCCTTAACAAAAACAATCTGTTGATGTTTGCTTGTGTAAGTTAATGTGCCAATTTTATTAATTAAATTGATTTCTGTGAAATAAATGGAAAATGTCTCTTATCATTAGAAGTCAGCGTTTAATTTTATTCGGTTATCCTGGGTTAAGTAAGTGTTTGACTATCTGGTTATCCTAGGTTAAATAAGTGCTTGATTTTATCTGGTTATCTAAGTTAAATTAACTTAACCCTTTCAGGGTCTGTGCCATAATATCACAGCTTTTGAGCTCAGGGACCGTTCTGTTATATTATGTGTAAATTCTAGTGACTTTAAATTTAGCGCAAGGGGGCTGGTAGACCCACACGGTTTTTATAATTTTGTTCTCAGTTTCTTGGAATCATTTGATAGCATGGAAGACATATTACCAAAATATAAATGATTTTGGTTGGATTCAGGAGTGGAAGTAGATTGAAAATGAGCTCAAAGTAGGGAAAATATTCAATAAGAAGATGGGTAAAGCCCCCGTATAACCCCCTATTCTGTTTTATGGGTTTTTATTAGATCTGATTCATTTACTGGGATGCTGTTAACCATGAACAATCCTTCCTGGTTATACATATATTATTATTTGAGAAACAGAGTAACTCTTCTATTCTTTTGTGTGAATAAGAATTCCAAATGGAAAAAAAAGTGTAATATAGGAGAGGACTGGGGGAGCGTAGCTAATGAACAGAGGAAATGTTTTAGTGCCAGGAATGTCTACATTATTTATTATGAGCTATTTTTAAATTGGCCAAATTACCAAATTCTGAAATAGCTGAATGGGAAGTTTCTTGCACTCAATTGATAGAATGATAGGCAAACTACCAAAGTAGCTAAGAATTTGGTTGATTAGACCAATGGAATTGGCCTAAAATAGGACTCCAAGTGGGTGAAATCACAGGTGCATAAATTACACTGAGACAGCTAACTTGGCACCAGAGTAATTCTGAAAGTTGTCCATTAAATTTTGAACTTTTGGTGCCATTACCTTCAGAAAAAAGATTCTTCACCATTTTATAAGAAAACGTAATGGGGTGGGGAATTTTTGGATCCTGTGGATAATTTTCAGATCAAAGGCCTGGCTGGGCCCCCTCAAAGACTTAGTTCTTGTATGTGCCTATAACATGTGTACCTCTCAAGATCATTGTTAACCCTTTCAGGGTCCAAACCATAGATCTACGCCATGAGCTCAACTCACTCTGATAAGCTGTGAGCTGTAAATGTGGGCCTAGATGAGAGAATACATCTATGTGGTATGTGTGCACCACATAAAACAAATCCTGCAGCACACAGTGCATGAGAGAAAAAAAACTGAGACCATAACTTTCAATTAAAACAGCGACTTTGCAGTGTTTTTTCATATGTTTTTCAGTTGAAATTTGTGATTTCTTGGTCTCATTTGATAGAATGGAAGATATATTACAGAAAGAGACATGATTTTGATTGGTTTTAGTAATGGAAAAGACTTTGAAACTGAGCTCAAAGTACCAAAAATGTTAGATATTTGCCGATGTTCAAGAGTAAACAAATGACCTCACACATCTAATACATGCCAGCTGGTGGGTCTAATATATGTTAACATATGTGGTGATATTATTTATACAATTATTACAATATTGCATAACAGTAAATCTTCTATTTTTTGGTTTGAATAAAAATTTATTATGTGAAGAAAAAATCAAAATTGAATTCATTTGTAAAGCTTGAAAACGTAACTGATGAACAGAGGAAATGTTAGTTTAGTTCCAGGAATGCCTGCATTGTTTATTCTGGACCCTATTTTGAAATTAAAACATTTTGAACTTTGCATTAACCCTATGACGGTTTACGCCGTATAAATACGTCTTACGCGCCACTGTTTCTGACGTATATATACTCAATAATTCTAGCGGTTTCAAATCAAGCAGAAGAAAGCTGGTAGGCCCACATGTGAGAGAATGGGTCTGTGTGGTCAGTGTGCACCACATAAAAAAAATCCTGCAACACAGTGCGTAATGTGAAAAAAAAAAACTCCGATCGCTTTCTTGGATTAAAACGCCGACTTTGAGGTGTATTTTCGTATAGTATTTATCAATGTATTTGCGTTTTCATGGTCTTAGGTGATAAAATGGAAAACATATTACAGAAATAGAGATGATTTTCATTACTTTGACAATGAAAACGACCTTGAAACTGAGCTCAAAGTAGCGGAAATGTTTGATTTTTACCAATGTTCAGGAGTAAACAAATCGCACCACACATTCAATACACGTCAACTGGGGAGTCTAATATTCTTTCACTAGTGCACTGATATTATTTATACCACTTTTACAATAATGCAGTAGTCTGTATAACAGTAAATTTTGTATTTTTTTGTATGAATAAAAAAGAGATGTGACTAATGAACAGAGGATATGTTATTTTAGTGCCAAGAATGTCTACCTTGTTTATTTGAAATTGGCATCTTTTTTAGTTTGCGTGAAATTGGCCAAATTGCCAATTTCTGACCACCATATTCGGTAGTCCAAATTGGTAAATGGGAGGTTTCTTGTACTCAGCTGATAGATAAAATGGAGTTCTAAAGAAATAGCTATGAGTTTGGTCAACTGGAACAACGGAATTGGCTGAAAATAGGGCTCAAAGTTGGCGAAATCGCCGATACGCATATGTCGCCGAGACCGCTAACTTCGCGGGAGCGTAATTCCACGAGTTTTCGACCAAATTTCGAACTTTTGGTGTCATTACCATCGGGAAAAGATTCTCTATTATTTCATAAGAAAAAATAATTTTTTTTTTTCAAAAATTTATCGACATAGAATGACAGTTTCAGAAAGGGGCCTGAAACAGTCAAAGGGTTAAATTGGCCAAATTACCAATTTCTGATCATTTTATTTTGTAGTTGGAACAGCTGACTTGGCTATTTCTTGAGCTCAATCGATAGAAGTAATACTAGTGAAATAGTTAAAAATTTGGTTGAGTGGAATAATGTAATTGGCCTAAAATGGGAGTCAAAGTCGGCAAAATCGCCGATGCGTAAATATCGCTGACACATCAAAATTCGAGAGAGCATAATTTCAACAATTTTCCATCAAATTTCGTACTTTTTGTTTTATTACCTTCAGAAAAAGATTCTCTACCATTTCATAAGAAAAAAATAATGAAATTATTTTCTGAAAATTCTTGGACCCTGGTGCACACTTTGAAATTTGGCCTCTGGACCCTGTAAGGGTTAAAAAATTTGTATTTTATGTGCAAAGGCATGTATAGGTCCCAATTTACTTTTTCAGGACATACTGTTTTTGTGTGATAAATGGTTTAGAAAACTGACAAGTTGAAGAATGAGACATGTATGCAACATATGGAAATAATTATTGAGGAAACTTTTCACATTGACTCCAGGCTGAGAGACTGATTACTTCACATTCCTCTCTTTACACCATTCTTCTTTGTATTGGACTGATGAAGCCACTGTGTGGTGCAACGTCTCCCCAATAAATATTTCTTGATCTTGCATAAGTGTTTCATTCTTAAACTGTTTTTCATGCAATAAGTTTTGAATATATGTCACATCTGATTTGCTTCAACTCTTCTCAGCTGATAACTTTGATAATGCAACTTCTGAGCAGCTTCAAGTTTAACATGCATGTATTTTAGAATATTGGTCTTTTTTATGGTTTTTGTTAAAGGCTTGAATTAAGTTTGGGCTGTGGAATATCTTAATTTGCCATTTTTACTGAAGAAATTTGGATATTAGTTTCCAAGTAATGACTGTGAATGACTCTTCCAATTCCCTTTAAATCTTCAAAGCTAATATTTAACTGCATTATCAACTTAAGCTGCACTTTGAGTCATTACAATGGTAAACATTAAAACAATGGGAAATAGGGATCCCTCAGTTTATTTTATTTTTTGGACTGCTCTGCAACCAAAATACATCATTATTTTTTTTTTAACACACCCACCATCTCCCACCAAGCTTGGGGAACCCAAGAAAGAAAAAAGTTTCACCATTACTGTCTTGCCAGAGGTATGCAAACATTATAGTTCAAAGGTCCCTTCACTGGTGACAAAGTTATTTCCATTATGGGGGAATGTGTAGCTTTAAAAATAGGTTGGATAAATATGCTACCAAGACGGGTTGGATTTAGAAAGAGCTTGTCTAACATGGGCCAGTAGGCTTGCTGCAGTGGACCTCTATTCCCAATCTTCAAGTAGCAGCATTTGGTGCCCCAACTTCACAACTGATGTGTCAAATGTATTGCCATACAGCATCAACTCAGTTTCATGATATATGAATGGATACGCAGGCGAAGAATATCAGCGCATGGCAGATGGAGACAAAGGCAGTATAATGAGATTCTTTACTGACAATGTTTTGCCCACACAGTAGCTTTATAAAGTTAAACAGATCTACCTGGGAAAAGAGGATGTGCATATATAGTAATTTTAGTGACATAGTCACTATATAATAATAATAATAATAATAATAATAATAATAAAAATAATAATAATATCTTTATTTACTACAAGTACATGTAAAGGTATACAGACCATAGTTGACATCAGTGACATACTTCTATATAGAAAGTCACTTGTTATGCAGAGCATTTCCTGCAAATTAGGTCAGTTTTGTCCCAGAATGCAACCCACACCAGTCCACTAACACCCAGGTACCCATTTTATTGATGGGTGAACATAGACAACCGGTGTAAGGAAACACGCCCAATGTGTCCACCCTCACCAGGAATCTAACCCAAACCCTCACCATGTGAAGCAAGAGCTTTTGTCACCAGGCCACGGACTACTGTGGCCTGGTGACCACAGTACCATCTCTTTCTCCTGGTAGATGTCTGTGAACTGATAAAGCCCACTGTGTGGTTAAAACATTGTCAATAAAGGATCGTATTATTCTGCCTTTATGTGTCTTTTTTTCCAGTGTTGTTATTTTATACGATCTGTGTGGAACATGTTTAAGAGTTAAGGGGGATGCCAGTTCCCCCGTCTTCTATGTTACTTTTCCTCTATAATCTACCTTGTCCATAATTACTATCGCATTTGTTTTGTCTGCTTTCGTCAGGTGAAGTACAGGATCTTTATTTAATTCATGGTATAACTTAACAAATCTTTGAGGACCCCAATGGAAATAAGTCACTTTGTCAGACTTTTTCAGGTTATCATAGGTACTTTACACACATGCTGCTATGTATGATAATGTATGTTACTGTATTTGTGAATACTTGAATAAACTTAGTGTGTTGTCGAGGTGTGAGCTTTGCTCACCTCGACACTATTGTTCTTACACCATGAATTAAGGAAAGATCCTGGACTACACTTTACATAAGCAGATAAAGCAAATGCGATAGTAATTATGGACAAGGTAGATTATAGGGGAAAAATAAACATGATATCTGGAGCCGGGAACTCAGGCGCCTGTTAAGAGGAAGCTGAGATGCCGTTACTAACCTGCCATCATCAGAGTAGCATACATGTGTAAGACCTTCATAGTGAGCGTAGCGTGTAGGTCTCATCTTTCTCACTTCCACACCCATCTTCACTACACCTCAACAATGTAATAACCGTGATAATGGTGGTTTAAGTACAAGTTTTGGTAGTGTTACTAGGAGGTGGCGGCGGCGTCTCCCTCACAACAGCTGACTCTGCGCGCCAAATCTTGAACATAAACAAAACTCAAAACAAAACTAAATGCAATATTTTTACAACTTTTATTCCTAAAGAAGCATCACTAAGTCAATTATATAAAAATTAATAAAATTTTCTTTAAAATATATAAAATGTGTTGATAAGAATATTTCTAAAGTTGGTATTAATAAGTTAAACAATAGTTTTTCTATTTAGTGCTTTTTTGCTACCATGATGACGTCAGAGAAATTAGTATACACATTAAAACACGATCAAACCCACTAAAACACAATAATAAAATATATAACAGGTGCGGAAAGTTGCCTAAACATTTTAATGCATCACTGAGAAAACAAAATAGACAAAATATACAAAATAAGAAGTTGTTTACAAAAGAGTGTGAGTGACGTCACGAGGATGAATGAGGAGACGAGGCCATTTTCCAGCCTTGACTCAGTGAAGTACTTGAGCAGGGTGTAGCAGCTGCTACTGTCTCTCTCACACCTCCTACACCACCACCTACCTCCTCTCTTAACACTACCTAACACCTACTGCATGTAGGAGTCTGGATAAAGGTAATTAAGTGAGCGCCGCGCTGGTGTTGTGGGGGAGTTATCTGGGCCACAGTTGGCAGCTGATGAAAGTGTGAAGTGAAAATATTGCCTCAGTTGGTAGGTGTTTTGAAGGCAATATGGTGGAGAAGTGTTGTTTGTAGTGTGGTTGAGTGATGCTGAGAGCAGTGCTGCACGTGATGCTCACACTCGCTGTACTCATGCTGAAGGTACCATCAACACTTATTCTCTTCTTCAACTTGATACAAGAATGATCACTCAACTATATAATATTGACCTTTCTCTCCTCTCACCACTACACTCACCACTACACTCTCACCACTACACTCACCACTACACACTCACCACTACACTCTCACCACTACACTCTCACCACTACACTCACCACTACACTCACCACTACACTCACCACTACACTCTCACTACTACACTCTCGACCACTACAATCTCACCACTACACTCTCACCACTACACTTCCTCACTACACTCACCCACTACACTCACCACTACACTTCACTCACGTACACTCTCAACCACTACACTCACCACTACACTCTCACCACTACACTCTCACCACTACACTCTCACCACTACACTCTCACACTACACTCTCACCACTACACGCACCACTCAACACTCTCACCACTACACTCTACCACTTACACTCTCACCACTACACTCACCACTACACTCTCACCCTACACTCACCACTACACTCACCACTACACTCACCACTACACTCTCACACTACACTCTCACCACTACACTCACCACTACACTCACCACTACACTCTCACCACTACACTCTCACCACTACACTCTCACCACTACACTCTCACCACTACACTCACCACTACACTCTCACCACTACACTCTCACCACTACACTCCACCACTACACTCTCACCACTACACTCACCACTACACTCTCACCACTACTCTCACCACTACACTCTCACCACTACACTCACACTACTCTCACCACTACACTCTCACCACTACACTCTCACCACTACACCTCACCACTACACTCTCACCACTACACTCTCACCACTACACTCTCACCACTACACTCACCACTACACTCACCACTACTCTCACTACTACTCTCACCACTACACTCTCACCACTACACTCTACCACTACACTCTCACCACTACACTCTCACCACTACACTCTCACCACTACACTCTCACCACTACACTCTCACCACTACTCTCACCACTACTCTCACCACTACACTCTCACCACTACACTCTCACCACTACACTCTCACCACTACACTCTCACCACTACACTCACCACTACTCTCACCACTACACCTCACCACTACTCTCACCACTACACTCTCACCACTACACTCTCACCACTACTACTCTCACCACTACACTCTCACCACTACACTCTACCACTACACTCTCACCACTACACTCTCACCACTACACTCTCACCACTACACTCTCACCACTACACTCTCACCACTACACTCTCACCACTACACTCTCACCACTACACTCTCACCACTACACTCTCACCACTACACTCTCACCACTACACTCTCACCACTACACTCTCACCACTACACTCTCACCACTACACTCTCACCACTACACTCTCACCACTACACTCACCACTACACTCTCACCACTACACTCTCACCACTACTCTCACACTACTCTCACCACTACACTCTCACCACTACACTCTCACCACTACACTCTCACCACTACCTCTCACCACTACACTCTCACCACTACACTCTCACCACTACACTCTCACCACTACACTCTCCCACTACACTCTCACCACTACACTCTCACCACTACACTCTCACCACTACACTCTCACCACTACACTCACCACTACACTCACCACTACTCCACTACTATCTCACCACTACATCTCACCACTACACTCTCACCACTACACACTCTCACCACTACACTCTCACCACTACACTCTCACCACTACACTCTCACCACTACACTCTCACCACTACACTCTCACCACTACACTCTCACCACTACACTCTACCACTACTCTCACCACTACACTCTCACCACTACTCTCACCACTACACTCTCACCACTACACTCACCACTACACTCTCACCACTACACTCTCACCACTACTCTCTACACACTACACTCTCACCACTCACTCTCGCCACTACACTCTGCCACTACACTCTCGCCACTACACTCTCGCCACAAACATCTCGCCACTACACATCGCCACTACACTCACGCCACTACACTCTCGCCACTACACTCTCGCCACTACACTCTCGCCACTACACTCTCATGCCACTACACTCTCGCCACTACACTCTCGCCACTACACTCTCGCCACTAACACTCATCGCCACTACACTCTCACCTACACTCTCGCCACTATTCTCATCACCACTCATCACTACTCACTACATTCATCACTACACACTCATCACTACACACTCATCACTACACACTCATCACTACACACTCATCACTACACACTCATCACTACACACTCATCACTACACACTCATCACTGTTGTTAGGTAAGACACATACGCAACAGTTAGGTATCTTTATTTCGAAACATTTCGCCTACACAGTAGGCTTCTTTAGTCGAGTACAGAAAAGTTGATAGAAGCAGAAGAGACTTGAAGACGATGTAATCAGTCCATCACCCTTAAAGTTTTGAGGTGGTCAGTCCCTCAGTCTGGAGAAAAGCATTGTTCCAAAATGTTACCATTTTAATGTTCACACTCATCACTACACTTTCATCACTACTTTCATCACTACACTTTCATCACTACACTTTCATCACTACACTTTCATCACTACACTTTCATCACTACTCTCATCACTACTCTCATCACTACTCTCATCAGTACATACCACTACTCATCAGTACACACTCACCACTACTCATCACTACACACTCATCACTACACACTCACCACTACTCATCACTACACACTCACCACTACTCATCACTACACACTCACCACTACTCATCACTACACACTCACCACTACTCATCACTACACTCATCACTACACTCATCACTACACTCATCACTACACTCATCACTACACTCATCACTACACTCATCACTACACTCACCACTACTCTCATCACTATCGCCACTACTCACCACTACACTCATCACTACTCTCACCACTCTCGTCATTACACTCATCACTACACTCTCATCACTACACTCATTACACACTCATCACTACTCTCATTACACTCTCATCACTACTCTCATTACACTCTCATCACTACTCTCATTAACACTCATCATCACTACTCTCATTACACTCTCATCACTACTCTCATTAACACTCTCATCACTACACTCATCACTAAACTTTCATCACTACTCTCATTACTCTCTCATCACTACACTCATTACTCTCTCATCACTACACTCATTACACTCATCACTACACTCATCACTAAACTTTCATCACTATTCTCATTACTCTCTCATCACTACACTCTCATTACTCTCTCATCACTACACTCTCTCATCACTATCATCACTACTCACTCATCACTACACTCATCACTTCACTCGTCACCACACGCTCTCGTCACTACATACATCTTCTCTCACCCGACCCCAGTCATGTTAGCCAATACTGTAAATACCGTATTACAGAAAATATCAACCTGGATGAGGACCAACAAACTTACACTAAACATTGACAAAACCTACTACATTCAGCATCGTGTAGTGATGACTGACAGCATTGTGTAGTGATGACTGATAACTCTAGTGATGTTTAGTACTTCACAGTTTACTGTAGTGATTTTGAGAACATAACAGTTTTCTGTAGTGATATGTAGTACTTGACCACTTGACCACATCTGGACCAACACCATATCCCCTTTAAAATCAGGCATAATTACAGATAGTACCACAGACCACTACCCTACTTTCCTCATAACAACTCTTGGTAAAATACCCCAAGACACTACTAAAGTCACCTTCAGACTTCACAATGAGGCAGCCATTAATAACTTCACAACAGCAGTAACAAACATTGACTGGCACACTGAGCTAGAAATCTATACAGATATTGACGAATGTTTTAATTTTCTAAAAAAGACCCAATACCTTTATAACAAGCACTGCCCTAAAAAACTAAACAGGTGACAGCTAAGAGACTGAACAGTCCCTGCTAACACCCAGCATTCTCAAATCCATAAATACAAAACACCGATATGAAAAACAGTACAGAATGGGTCACATAACCAGAGACCAAACAAAACGTTATTCGTCAATCCTGACCAGCCTGATAAGAAGGGCAAAAAAATTGTATTATGAGAACAGATTATCCAACTTACGAGGTGATATAAAAAGACCTGGAAGACCCTATCAGAAATTCTGGGAACAAAAAAGATATCACGACATAGCGAAATAAAATTAGCAAAATCAGATGAACCCCAAC